TTTATTTTCCCTGGGGCTAGACCCTAGTAATAAAAAAGTTTAAATTTATTATAACTTATTAGGTATAGTTAACTATAAATATTATTAAAAATAGCTTATATAAACCATAGGTAAAGATTTAGTATTTAAAGGTAAGTATTTAGTAAAGTATTAATATTATTTTAATTTATTAATACCTTTTATTTAACTTTAAATTAATAAATTAACCGCTTAATAACTTTAAAAGTCTTATATAAAGTATGTTATTATAGTTTATAGCTTATTAGTTAAATACTATAGCCTTATTTTATTATTATTTAAGTTATATTTTACTTTTAATAGGTAATAAAAGGCTGTTACCTTATTTATTTTTATAATACTTAAAACTTAACTTTATAATACTAAGCTATATATTAATATAGTTACCTTTTAAGATTAAACCTAATTATATTATTTTTTTAATATATTATTATAAAAAATAATTTATAATTATATTATTTATTATATTTTTATATTTTATTATAAAATTATTATCTAGTATATTAATTATATAATATATTATAAATTATACTAAGGCCATAGGTAACTGCTGCTAGTAAGTACTAGCTAAAATATTATTAATATAAAAGCTAAAGTTATGGGTTAAGTACCTAAAGGCTACCTTTATATTACCTAGTAATATAAAGGTAATTATAACATAAATTATTAAAAAGCGCCTTTTTACGCCCTGTGTTTAATATATAAAAAAAATAAATTATTTATAGGTTATATTATTATTAATAGGTTACTATTTAGCGCCTGTATTAACTATTATTATACTTTAAAAAATAAATATTATAACTACTATAATAAGTACCCTAACTAATAATTTATAAAGCTAGTAACTAACTATAATAATTTAAAAACTAATATTAAAAATATTACTGCTACCGCCCGTGCTATAAAAAAAATATATATATAAAAAAAAAAAAGTAATAGCTATGCTATAAAGTAATTATAATATTACCTAGTAAATAATTAAGTATTAACTTAAATATTAACCTTAGCTTAATTATAAACCCGCGGCCGCGCTAAGTGGCTTTATAACTTATTTAATATAATAATTATTTAAAAAAACATGTTTACTATTACCTAAAAGGCATTTACTAAAATATGCCTTAGTATTATAATTAAGTTTATAAAAAAAGTAGGTTTACTAGTAAAAAAAAAATAGGAATAAGTTCCCTAGTTTACTAAATAATTTTAATAAAAAGTTATTAAAAAATAATTAATATTTACAAGGCTAGACCCTAGTTAATAAAGCTAGTTTAAATTATTATTTTATTTTTAAATTTATACCTATATTATTATTACTTTTATAATAAGAAATATTATTTATAATTATAATAAATACATGTTAGCAGCGCCTTAAATAACTATTTTTATATCTTTATTTTTTAGTGTTAAATAGGCTATTAACTAACTAGTTATAGCTAAAAGGTTTTTTAAATAATAGTTTTTTAAGTAACTATATATATAATATAGCCATGTATATAAGACCTAGTAAAAACTTTTTATATATAATAAGGTTTAAAATAGCCTGCTTAATAATAATACCCTAGGCCTTATAAATTATTATTATATATATTAATATAGCTAAAAACTATGTATAAGTATAAATAATATTATAATAATAAAAGTCTTATTTTATATAAAAAATTAGCATTATGTTATGGTTATTATTTTTCTTAGTATATAAATTATTATACTAGTTAAAAGCTATTATTAAAGTAAGCAGCGCCTCCTGGGTAGGATTTATAATTTTTAGTAATTATATAATATTTATTAATATGCCTATAGCGCTGTTTATAAGACCTTTTTTTATTTAAATATTTTATATTAATATAATATAATAATTAAAAAAAACTATAAGCTTTTTAACTAGGTTTTTAGCCTAGTTTATTTTTATAGTTATAGTACTAGATTTAATATAATTAGCTTGTAAAATAATTATAGGTTTACTAAAATTTAATATATAATTATAATTATACTAGTATATATTATTTTTTTTTATATATATAAATTATATTTATAAAAGTATTACTTTTACTTATAAATAACTTAGCTTATACTTGCGTTATAAAAAGCTTTTAGTTTTTTATTATAATAATATTTTTTTAAGCGCTCTAGCGTAAGAATAAATATATAAGTTATTTAAAAGCTTATAATTTAGTAATAAATAATATTTAGCTTAATAATAAAGTTAAATTAATTATATAAATACTAACTAGCCTTTTTTTTTTATTTATAAGTAAAAACATGGCCTTAAAAAAGGGCTTTAGCTAATTAAAAGTAACTAGTAAAAGTTCCTGGCTAAAATAATATTTAAGCTATTAAAGGGTTTAGCTTTATAATTTAAAAAGATTTTATAATATTATTAATTAATATAATATAATTATTTTAAACCTATTATAAACTTTTTATTAATAATTAAATATAACATGCCGCGGAAACTTACTTATAAGGCTAATAATATTAAAGGCTATAGGTAATTATAACCCTTCTTACCTTTTAATATAACTAGTAATTAAAATAGTAAGTATAAGATTTAACTATTAATATTATACATGGTAATACTAGTTAAAGTAGCTTATATAATAATAAAGGTCTTATAATTACTAGTATAAAAAGCTATATATTTTAGGGTTATAAATAATAAGTTAATAATATAAAATTTACTAATGCTAGCCTTATTATTTAAATTAATTAATAACTACCCTAGTAAGGGTAATAAATATATAAAAATAAATTATTATTTATTACTTAAATAAAGAACTAGTAAACCACACGACTATAAAATACTTTTATAATATTTAATTATAATATTATATAGCTGGCGTTACTTAACCTTTAGGTTATTTAAATAAGTTAATAAATAAGCTAATATATTTACTAGGTAATCCACCTTTACTAAATCCTAAAATTTTAAATTAAAACTAGGTTTTTTTATATATTAAGTTTAATTATATTATTAATTAATATTACGCTAGCCCAGGCTATTAAATTTTATAAAAAAATTATTATTATAGCCAGGCTGCTAAGCTACCATAGCCTTTTAAAAAAGTACCTTAGTAATTAAGCTAGTATTATTATTTTAAATTAGTAAATTAATCTTATTTTTTATATTTTTATTATTTTATATATAGCTATCCTTTTTATAGCCATGGTATTTATAGTAATATTTATATATATTATAAAAACTATTAAATACTAATTTATTAACTATACACAGGTTATTTATATTAATAAATAAATAATAAAGTATTAACTTAATATAGGTAAAGTTTTTTAGGTTTATAACTTAGTTATATATTAAGTAATAATAAATAATATAATTTTTTATCTTACTTTTAACCTTTTTATATATTTTAGGTTATAAGGTATAATAGCGCATGTAATATAATAATATTAAATTAACAAGCTTTAGTAGCTATTTTATATACTTTATTATTATATTTAAACCTTTTTTAATACTACCTTTTTTATTACTAGTATTATTATAGTTTATATTTAGTAGTAAAAATAGGTTATCTTATTTTTAATTTATAAAATATAAAATAATAATTATACTATAGCTTAATATTTAAAATAATAGGCCTAGTAAATAGTAATAAACCTTTTATATAAATTAATTTTACTTTATAATTAAGGTATTTATTATTTTTTATACTAGTAATAGTAAAAAATAGCGTGTATTAATATACTTAAGAATTAATTTTATAACTTTTTTATATAACTTTATTTTTTTTAGGCTTTATAATATACTTAGTAATATAATAAAATAGGAAGCACTTATTAATATATATAACTATGTTTAAGTTTATAAGCTATCTTAAGCTAATAATTAAGTTAAACATGTTTAAGGTTATATTATTATAAGCTAAAAAAAATAATAGTATATACTATTAGTTAGTTTTATTAATTAAGGATTATACCGTGTTACTATAAAAAAATAAAAGTAATAAATAATTTTTTTTAGTTTGCTTATTTTTTTATTAATAATAATTTATATTATAATAATAATATAGTACATGGTTTATAACCTATATAAAATAAGTAAGTATATTTTTTTATTAAAACTAGGGTAGCTAGATAGCCTTATAATTTATATTAATAATAATAATTTATATATAAAAAGGGTTTATAACTATAATATATATATTTTAATAGGCCTTAAATAACCACCGCAGCTTGTTAAATTATTAAAGGCTATTAAAAATAAAAATAAATTATATTTAATATATATTATAGTTATAAGTTAAATCTTAATCTTACTATTTATAGCAAGACTAATTATTTATAATATTAAACTTAGGCTTAATAACTATATTAAAAAACATATAGTAATAGTAATAAAACCATGTTATAATAATATAAGGGTTATCTTATAAATTATACTATATAATTTATTTATAAATAACCTTTATATTATTACACCATGCTTTATACTTAGGTAACTATTATATTAGGTTATTTTAGTATAAATTAGCCGTAAAAAATATTAAAAATAGGTAAGCTATGCTTATTTAAAAAATAAAAGGTTAAAATAACACGCATGGTAATAAAAAATAGGCCACTTATTAATATTTTTAACTATAACTTTTAAGCTATTTTTTTATTATATTAAAATAGCCGCGTATCATAAATAATTTTAAAAAAAATTAATAATAAAACTTAGTAATATAAATAATTTAACTATATTTAATTAAAAGGCTGCCTATAACTTTTTTATAAAAATATCTTGCTAGCTAGGTGCATGGTTATAAATATAAAAACTAGCTTGCTAATTTATTTATTAATAATAAATTATATTAAAGTAAATATATTAAAACTAAAAATACCGTGCAAAACAGCCACTTTTATATTTAAGTAAGTATTTAATATAATTTATAAATAATACCTTATGTAGGCATGTTATAACTAGCTTTATATTATTATAAAAAAAAGGGTAAAAAATACTAGTAATAGTAATTATTATAAGTAATTAAACTTAAATAATAATATTATATAAAATAAAAAAAAAGTTAAATAAGAATTATTATATACTAGCTTAATAATATTATTTATTATAGCCTGTAAAGCCTTAAGCTTTATAATTATTATAAGTAAATTAAGTATTATAACTATATTAAGCACCTATATATTATTAAGGTTTACTTATTAACTATTATTTAGGGTAATTAGCTTACTAGCCAGCTTTTAATTTAAAATAAAATAATTAATTTATTTATTTTTTAGTAATTATATAAGGTTATAATTATTTTTAATTATATTTTAGTACCTTAAATAATTTACTTAAAAGTAATTTAGCTATTATTTAACTACCTAATACTATATTTTAAAGTTATAATAAAATTATAGGTATATTTTTTAATTTATACTAAAATTAAATAGCCATAAGATTAATATCTTAAATTTTTTAGGTAAAAATAAAAGCTATTTATATACTTAACTAGTATTTTATAAAAAGTTAATAATATAACCTTTATATAAATACTAGTAATTTTAAATATAATAAACCTTAATAAATATATAAACTTTTATAATTAATATTTCCTTAATTTATATTAATTTTAAAAGATAAAAAAAAATATTACCAGGATTTATTTTATTTTATAAACTAAATTTAAAAATTTTTTAATTTTAGTTAGCTAACACGCAACGCTTGCAAATATTATTTTTTTTAAAGGTTTATATTAAATCACTATTTTTAATAATAATTATATATTTTTAGCTAATATATATTAAGCTAGTAATAAAAGTTATTTAATAACTTTTAATTATAATTTATAATAGCTAAATATATAAAATTAATTAAAAAAAATAAATATAGTAAAAAAGTATAATCTAGGTTTATATATATAAAAGGGCTAAAGTTAACTTTAGTAATTTATAAAAATAAAAGTAAATTATTTTTAATAATAAACTAAAAGCTTATAGTGGTTAAGTTATTAGTATTTAACTTAATATTATTTTTATTAATAATAGTGGCTGGCTACGGGCGCCTACCTAGTAGGTAAAAAGTAAGTAATAATAAAAATATGGCCGTTGCGGGTATAAAAAGGGGTATAAGGGTAATAAATATAATTAATAATAATAAACATGTTAAAGGTAAATAAAAAAGCCAGGGTTTATTAAAATTAATTATATAAGCTATTTAATTAATTATTTATTATATATACTATTATTTTATATTTTTATAATATTTTTTTACTTATTATAAATTATTAAATAAGTATATACTATAATATTAATAATCTAGCTTTAATTATAATAAGCACGCTTAACACATGTTTAGGTTAATTATATTAAAAAAAAAATATTAAAGGGGCGGGATAAAAAGGCCTATAATAATAATAAATTATTTACTTTTTTTTTATTATATATTAGTAGCTATAATATACATGCAAGGTAGTATAAACACGCCTAGTTTTTATAATTATTATAAGTTTAGTAAGGTTTATAGCCCAGGCGTTATTAAAATTATAATAAAAAAAGTATAGCACTATAATAAGTGTAAATTATAATTAATTTTATAACTAAACTTATTTATATAAACTATAAGTAAAAAAAGAATTATAAACTTAAGGTTTAAATTATTATATTATTAAAAAAATTATATTATAAGGTTAAAATAGTAGGATAGGGTTATATAACTACCCTTTTTTTTAGTTAATTAATATTATTTAGCTTAAGTAGTAAGAGGAGGTTATATAACTACCCTTTTTTTTAATTAATTAGTATTATTTTACTATTTTACATAATCCCTAATAAAGCTCACGTGACTGGGAGCCGGGACCTATGATTAACATGCGCTTAGGCCTCCACTTTGTTTCGGCCACGCGCAATAAATGCCGTGAAACTCGATCATGATTACCGCGGCCAATGATCTCTGGGGTCTCTGTTAGAGGATAGGTCTCGTGCTATCCGCTGATGACTCTCAAGAATAAGCAGTCCAGCTAGCTACAATGCCTGATGCACAGGGATCGGTCGTGTATCTGGTCCTCCAGTTGTCCTGCGTCTGTCACTCCACAGGCCCACCGATCGGACTTCTGAATGCTGACGCCGGCTAGCACAGGGGGTGCTAGGCGGCGCGGCCTGCAGGTGCTGCGTATCCGGTAGACCAGCTAGGCATCCAACTGGCTGCCAGACAACCTAAACCATACCATAATCCGTTAGACTGAGGCTCGATAAATTTTTGATTGCCTGGCTTAATCGCCTTGTCAACTCACATACAGTAGGCTCTTGAATTAGCAGGCGGATTTTTTTCGTGTTACCTGCTGGCTGTAGCTTGGAGTGGGAGTCGCTAGTTATCCAACCGTTGGTGCTCAGTATGGCCAGGTATATTCTTGATTCTTGGAGCGCTCTGGCCTTGCGAAGACAACGTTGTGCTAATAGTTCAACTGACTTCATTGTATGCCATAATTCAGGAAATGTACAGAACGTTGACCTGTTGGTTGTGTAAGGCCATTGTGGCAGTGAGAGCCATGGAGATCTCTTGCACTGCAGTGAATAGCGGTAGAAGGTAAAGAACTGACCCCGATGATAGCAGTCCACAGCACGGATTCCTCTGCCCCTTAATGGCCGGAAACTAAGTTCTTGGCAAGAGCTTGGCGTGTTTTAAGGCGATCAGTTTTAAGGAGCCAGAGGGTCCGAGTGTGCATGCATATTCCCCTGCTCAACACTAACATGGAGCCAGCTCGTCGAAAGCATGTATATAATTGAAGGTCCCCCTTCCCCTATTTTCAGCTAAGTCAGTGACAATACAAAGCAGCTAGTTTCCTTCTATTTAATCTGTCTTCTTTCATAAATTACCGTAACACAATGGAGCCGTCCCTTGATAGTGAAGGCTTGCCAGATGCTCTTCCCGGGACCATGTCCGACACCTGGCCCGGAGAGTCTTCCATTACAACAACGAGTTTAGCACCCCTTGAGAGCTCGCCGCAAGCACGTTTCACGGCCGAGTACCATGCCTTTCTCAATGGATTTTATCCTACTCCAGTTCCAAATTCCTCGATGATCGATCCTATTCCTCTCGCCCTTGGGACTATGCCCGTGTCGAACTATAATTTGTCGGGCGCTAACCCCGACATGGTTAGTCTGTCATCCGGCACCCGATCTTCCGTCGCTGTGGTGGATCTTCCGATGCCGAACCCACAGATTTCCTCCGCCGTCTCCAACCCCGGACTCTCCCAGTCTGCTGTTAACAACAACGGGATTTTCCCATGGCATTGGGATCCTGCCGTCGTCAGTGCTAGTGCCAATACCAGTGCCCATAATCATCTTGGCAGAGGTACAAAAAGCGGTCTTTGCCCAAGCATTCCTTCTGGGCTCGCTACTACTCTCCAGTTCGTCCTCTTGTCCTCCACCTTGGGTGATCCCTCGCTAATCCATACCCAGTCCAACCCACAATACGTCTCCGCGTATCCTTCGCTGCGAATGGAAAGACTGTCGCCACCGTAACATTTTCCGACGCGAGGGCGATCTACTGCGCCACGTGAGAGGAGCCCATGTCTCTCCTCGTTCATTCGTTTGTATGATTGACGGTTGCTGGAAGTCCTTTAATCGTAATGACAACCTTCAAGAGCACGTTCGTCGCTGTCATCGCGCAGGGTAAGGGCGCCGTCAGCTTATTGTTCTTCTACTGAGCATCGCGTACGCTCGGGGTTGTAAGGCAGATTCTAGAAGGAGCGCTTGTACTTACGACCTAATGATTGATTTATATATATCGCATATCAAGCACGTTTCTTGACTTTTCGCGCCGCGTACTCCAATTTCGGTTACGCTCTGTTGACGATCGGTGTCTATGTAGTTCACGTTCAGAGAAACTAACCTCTGAGCGCATCTGCGGACCAGGATAGCTCTGGCTCCTTCAAGTGAGAAAAACGATAAGTATGTACAGCCCCTAGTGATTACCTTAGGACAAGAACTAACAATCGAGTTGTTGTTGCAATGCCTCAGGCTTTTGTGTGATCTCAACCGACCATGCAGGTGTCCATGGGATCGAAGTCCTTGGCATACTGCAGCAGTGGCCACGGTATACGGTCCCATACCAGTCGTCACGCTTATGGCTGTTAGGAATAGTCGCAGATCCTACGATACATCAAACACGAAGTTTATTCTTGATATCTGCTGTCTCTATCGAAGCAGAGGTTCCTGTGTTCGTGAGATATGCGATCTCGAGGCTTGCCATGCTTTATCAATAGTCTGCCTGAGGCAATGATGCCGTAGTGGAATTTTTGTGCATTCTGAGCCCTAGCCTTGCATCTAATCCGCTGAGTTGGGTCGCATCTGTCCCATGACAAGCTTGCTCTATTGTGATCTAATTCTGACTTGAATAGACCGTCGTGTTCCTGTCCTGGATACCATTCTTATCGGTGACGTTGCAAATCCTCAAGAGTATGCCGAGACGAAGAGGAAGTACTCCGCCAGAGTCTCATAATTAAAGGAAAGAGAGAGAGATCTGGGGTCGACCACCTTTCTACCCTTGATACTGCTGCAACCTGGTCCGTTCCTACATGAAGCAGGGACTGCTGTATAAGGCAGTAAACATATAATAGGGGAACTGCTAGGCTTTAGCACAGCCCTGTCTCCAGATGTTCTGGCAACCTCAAAAACGAGGGGTTATATCCGGAGGGTCTACTATAGACAGGAAAAGCCAGGGCAGACGGAGCCAATTCTAAGATTGCTCTTGCTCATATCTACACTCTCAGAACTCTCGGCGATTCAGGTGCTCTTTTACTAGATCAGGGAAGTATGGTTGTTGCAGAGAGGATGTTGAAGCAAGTGGGCAAATGGACGCATTAGGCCAAGTCATCCATTCAATCTCACAGGTAAGGATGTTATCATGAAAGCATACTGATCTCCAGGTAAGACCCAGGGGGATTCTTAGACCGACTGCAGATAGTACCGCACTTTGATTCTCAGAGGATGATCTGAGGGAAGCAGAAGCTGATAAAAGGTGGTAACGAGAGTCTTTCTACTTATGAGTAAGTTGTTGACTCACATCCTAGTTTTTAGGTTTGAACTGAGAGAAATATGAGGTGGATATTCACTCTATCTGTTTGTGCTGTTGATGCTCACCATCTAGGGTAGCCACCACTGAACGTGCCCCACTTCCTTTTGCAGCAACACACACAGCCCGTCCCATTCATGGTCGTTTGCTCACACCTTCTTCTGTTTCTTTCTCCTTTCCTACATCGTCCTCTGCTGGATCGCATCATTTCGTCACTTGGTACTTACTAGACTCATCCAATTCGATTCAAATTCTGCCTATTTCAAATCACCACTGGCCCCCAATGACAGGCCCTAGCAAGAGACGACCCCAGGTTAAGCAAAGGAGAGCTCGCGGTCGTGGTCAATCTCGAGATACTTCTGCGAACTTGGGACGGCGGGGTGTTCCTAAGGGGGGGCCGTCCAGGTCGGTCTATACCTTTTGGGAGGAGGAGCGGTACTAACTGGTATTGTGTTCGAACAGAGTGTCAACACGATCAACACCAACCTACGCATCGTCTACCGGAAACCGACGCGACGAGGGATTACTGGCCCCGGCCGTACTAAAAGAATTTCTTACGGCCACACTGAAGAAGATTGAGCTCTCTGAGGAAGCTCGGAATGCTGCAATCAACGATCTTGCCACTGAAGACGGGCTGGCTCAGGTGCGCCGGATCGTGGAGACTAAATTCTCTGCCGGCTACAGCGTTACCACCCCGATGTTCGATCCTCACTGTGTGTTGTTTCTTCGATTGATCACACACAAGAATGTACTACAATCGCTGGCCGTCGAAAAGGCTGTCGGAACAATCTACAATGTTATTTACGGCCTCAACGGGAATAGAGGGGTTTCGTTCTTCCGTACAGCGATGGACTGCCTCAACAGTGAGAACAGAAACCCAGGGGAAATATCTTGTCTTGAGGCATTCCTGTTGGTTTCCAGAGCTTTCCTTCATCTCCTGACTTCAAATCAAGGCGCTTTCATCAGGCCTGAGTTCGAAGGACTAGCGGAGAGCTTTAGCAGCCTCTACATGGTCGAGGATGGTAAGGCTAGAGGTTCCTCAGATCCCCAGTTGAGCGAGTTGTACGAGAACGTCCATAAAATCCTTGACTTCCTTGCTATGGGTGATAGGCTCACAACTGCCGCATCCAACAGAAATTGCTCTTCTTCGGGACCAAAGCATCGCGACATGGTGAAACGTGCAACGCCAGTGGATCTTCCCGGGGGACTGTCAAGGCTGGGTGCCCGGCATGACAACGATCACGCCCTTATAGGTGATATTCGGATATTGCCTACGCTTTCCGAAATTTACCACCAGGAAAGAACTGACTTCCTGCCATCGCGGATGGCCTCATCGAGCAGTCACCATCAAGAAGGTATTCTGCGAGTACTCGACAGCCAGTTTCGTCTTTTACGCGAGGATACGTCAGGACAGGTTAGGGACGCGGTTCGCTTGATGGCAAATCATTGGAATACTTTGGCTCACGGAGAAAATGGAGGAACAAAGCGCAAAATCATACGCCGTGAAAGCCCAACGCCGCTGCGTATTTACTACGGTGCTTGGGTTCGCAAGCTGAAAGCCGACTTGGTTCACGGTCTCCACATCGAAGTCGAGTTTGATCAACCTCCCCGAATCCGAAAAGCAAACAGGGAAACGAGAAGGAAATACTGGCTTGGTTCTCGGGGTCTGAGAGAGGGTGGCGGGCTTGTGGCCCTGGTAGATGCGGAGGTTGAGAGCGATATGAATGTCATCATTGTGCAGGTCTTGAAGCGAGATGTTGACTCCGTCCAGTGTGATCAGCCTGCGCCAGTTCAGGACTTGATCAATGATGGGAAAAGGGCCATGATTACCCTGCGATTTCCCAGCTTACCGACCAAAGATGATCTGTTCAGTTTGGATTACATGCAAACCCTGACGCACGAACGGGAAAGGCCACTGTTACTCGTCGAATTCCCCGTGGTGCAGTACAACCAGTTTGAAGGGATACTTCGATGTCTCCAAGCTCTCCACAAGGATCCTTCTCATATACCATTCACCAGGTGGTTAACTACTGGTGCCAGAAGCTCACATATCGCGACTAACACTGCAACAATTCCGCCACCGCGTTATCTACGAGGCACCACCCTTGACCTCTCATCCATATATGAGAGCGACCGCAGACGGAATGATGTGGCACTAATGCTTTCGGCGTACGAGGATCCTAATAAAATCCAACAACGACTATGCGAGCTTTCGTCATTGGACACTGGACAGGCAGAAGCAATGATTTCGGCCTTGACCCATGAGGTCGCGTTGATCCAGGGTCCACCAGGCACAGGGAAATCATATGTTGGGATACAAATAGCAAAGTGCCTCTTGAGAAATAAGGAGCGCTTGGCCCTAGGTCCCCTACTATGCGTGTAAGCCATTCTATCGCCATGGATTGATCTCCGCTAACCCAAGGACAGATGCTACACGAATCACGCACTTGATCAATTCCTTACCGAATTGGCAAATGCCGGAGTCGAGCACATTCTACGAATTGGATCCCGAAGCCTATCAGACCACATGGAGTCGCTTTCTATCGACTCCTACAAGAAGCGGGGGGATATTCCCAGACTACCCGGATTCGGAAGAAGGATAAATGAAAGCAAGTGCAGACTGGACGCACTGGCTGGAAGAATTCAGTCTGTCTGTCAGGAATTGGAACGTGGCCCTTTGGCTATAGCGGCGGGAGTTATGGCAGCTCAGTTCTCCGAGTTCGCGGTCCTGATACAAGAAGGAAACCCAGACATGCCAGAGAGCATCAAGGCGTGGGTCGAGGGACACGGGCCCGGAGATATGCTCGGGATCGAAGACACGGAGCGCTCGATCGATCAATTGTTCGCGGCTGCGCCGTGGACCTTGACGAACGAGGAACGTTCTCGCGTTTACCGCTACTGTTACAACCTGGGCATTGAGATTCAGATGCAGCGTCTTCAAGCCTTGGCACAAGAACATGCGCTGGAGAAGCAACACCATACCGCATTATTCATCCAGCAAGACGCCCAAATATTTGATCAGGTCGACGTGGTTGGAGTCACGACAACGGGACTGGCCAACAATGCCGACCTGCTGCGCAGTCTTCAGGCGAAAGTGCTTATCTGCGAGGAGGCCGGTGAAGTTTTAGAGTCACATCTCCTGACTGCGCTGTTGCCGTCGATCGAGCACGCAATACTAATTGGCGACCACCTACAATTACGTCCTCGTATCTCGCGCCGGTACTTGTCGATGGAATATGATACCGTTGGCCCGAAATACAACCTAGATGAATCGCTCTTCGAAAGGCTCGCCAACGTTAAGCTAACAATACCAGCCGAGGCCTCATCTACAGAAGAGCAGGAAATGATTGAGTTTCCAGTCGCACAGTTGGATCATCAGCGTCGGATGCACCCCTGTATCTCGTCCCTCATTCGGCAGACCCTGTACCCAAAACTCAAAGACCACCCAACCACTACATCCTATCCCGAGGTCGCAGGGTTTCGCCGGAGACTATTCTGGTTGGACCATAACAATGTCGAAGATCCTGGAGATCCGGAGGATCCGACGCATAGTAAATCGAACGCATGGGAAGCGGACATGGTAACTGCGTTGGTGGGTCATTTGTGTCGCCAAGGGGTTTATAAACCGGGCCAGATCGCTGTCTTGACTCCCTACGTGAGTCAGCTAAAGCTGCTTGAGGAGAGATTGGAGAAGAGCATGGACCTGTTTATCAGCGAAGATGATCTGGCTGATCTTGGGCTAGAAGATGAACGCAATGGGATTACACCGGTTGATAGAGTCAGAACGGTACAAAAGGGTTCAGTATCGAATAGGCTGAGAATGGCGACCGTGGACAACTTCCAGGTGAGCAATTATCGTGCCAGCAACTTGGTACCCCATTAACCAATTGGCAGGGCGAGGAAGCGACTGTGGTGATTATTTCTTTGGTCCGGAGCAACCCGCGTCAGAACTGCGGGTTTCTCAAAACTCCAAACAGAATCAACGTGCTACTGAGGTATTACTTTCCTTCCAAATATGGTATATAGCAGGATCTGTGCTGACGCAACCCCAATAGTCGAGCTAAGCACGGAATGTACATTATTGGCAACGCCCAAACATCTTGTCATGTTCCAATGTGGGAGGCAGTGATAAAGATGCTCGAAGCAGATGCCAATATCGGTCCAAAAATTGAGCTCCAATGCTCCCGACATCCGGAAATCAAGATCCACGTGTCTACCCCAGACGACTTTGCTAGATGTGCGCCTGAAGGAGGATGCTCCGAAAAATGCGGTTTAAGGCTCAAATGTGGGCATACCTGCACATTCAAGTGTCACTCGAAGAAACTGCACGAGGCCGTGAAGTGCATGGAGCCCTGCACTGTTCCTAGAGACTGTGGTCATGTTTGTCAAAAAAAGTGCAACGAGAATTGTGGAGACTGCGAGGAAATCATTCCTGCTGTGCCCCTTGGCTGTGGACATACAACGCAGGTGAAGTGCCGGGATCAAAACAATCTGGCAGCGGTCAAGTGTACGCAGATTATCTCCAGAAGCCTTCCCTGTGGTCACGAGGTTGAGGCGCAGTGCTCTACGGCTGTTAAGGCACTAAAATGCAAAGACACTTGCGGTGAGGCTCTACCTTGTGGGCATGTTTGCCAACAGGGGTGTGGAAGTTGCCGGACTCCTGCTGGTGCTATCAACCATGGGAGCTGCACTTCTCAATGCAGCAGGCCGTTCACCACATGTTCACACTACTGTGTGCAGCCTTGCCATGATGGAACCCCGTGCAAGCCGTGCAGCCGACCGTGCGAGATACGATGTGTACACAATAAGTGTCCAAATAAATGCAGTGATCCTTGCCCTCCTTGCGCCGAAACTTGTGGTTGGCGCTGTAGTCACCAAGAACATGGCTGCAATCTACCATGCGCAATTCCATGCACTGTCATCCCTTGCAACTTTCGATGCGACAAACTACTAAAATGCGGCCATCGCTGCCCAGGCGTTTGCGGAGAAGCATGCCCTAATGCAAAGTTCTGCCAGCAATGCGGCAGCTCCGAGGTTCTTGAACGGCAAGTTGAGTTTATCATGCTGCAGAAGTACGCAGAAATTGATGTCAACGAGGACCCGATGATCTTCCTTTCTTGTGGACATTTCTATACCCGTTCTACGTTGGACGGGTTAATGGAAATGAAGGACCACTATGATGTCGACCCTATCACGGGTGAGGTCCTTCAGCCAAAGGCAGCATGGCGGGTGGTAATGACCCGGGACGCCCCAGGGTGCCCAGAATGCCGCGGCTCGCTGAGAGAAATCCACCGGTACAATCGGATTGTCAAAAGGTCATTGCTAGATGAATCGACGCGGCGGTTTGCTAGCAAGGCACACCGAGAGTATATTCAGAACTTCAAGGCTCTCGGGCGATACGAAGACAGAATGGAAAAGACCATGGTCGAGTTCATTGAAAAATGGGGCGCAGCAGAGTCCGGAGACTTAGGTTTTGAGCAGATAAATTCAGCCGTGGACGAATTCGAAGCTAAAAACCACAAGATGCAACAGACCATTACCAGGTTTATCAACCAAGTCCGGAAATTCGAGCAGCCGATCGGAAGGGTAAATGCGCTCATAGCTTCAGCCATGGCCCGAAAGACTAAATTGTCCGGTTCTGAGACCCCAACTCCAGTTCTTTCCTTGGTCGAAGAGACAGCAATCGTTACCGGATTTGAGGTTCAAGGTGAATGCCTACTCCTCCGTCTCCTCTGGAACATCATGTCAGCGAGCGAACGGGTACATCAGACCACGGCTATAGATGCCAGGATACGGGTTATGGTCCGAAAGAGGCTCTGCGGTCGTCTACCAAACTTTATGGCGATGTGCCGTACCGTACTTGAGAAAAGTACAAAGGAGAAGCTCCCCGCAGAACAGCTTCAGGCTATGGTCTATCTGGCGCAATCCTGCCAGCTCCTCCTTAGCACCCAAACAGAGACAGTTGAGTCGACGGCCTCCCGAGAAGAGATTGGCCAGATCCTGTCGGATTGCGAGCGGCTCTACGACTCCTTCCCGGGTCCGCTTGCGCGCTTCAAGGGGCTTATTGAGGGAGCTAAGAACTATTATGCCACCGGAGCTTTCTATGTGTCTGTGTCAGCGGAGGAAAGGCGGCAGGTTTACGAGGCCATGGAGGCCCAGTTCTTGGGCACCGGGCATTGGTACTACTGCGTGAACAACCACCCGGTAAGCTTCTTCTACCGTTACTATGATCTACATTTACTAATAAATGAGTCCAGTTCACCGTCGGCGAGTGTGGAATGCCGATGGAGGAAGCGCGATGCCCGCAATGCGGCGAGCGCGTCGGTGGGCATGACCACACACCGGTGGCTGGAGTGCAGCGGGCTGATGATCTCGATGCGGCGTTTTCGAGAGCTGCTTGATTTATGAGCACGGTTGAATCTATTGAACTTGTGAACATCCTGAAAGTTTGTCTTCACCTATCGCTCTCGAATATCCAACAGTAGGATAGTTATGCCCGTCGTTCTAAACAGCGAATGGCGCTTGATACTATATCAGGATATCAGACCATGGCCTGGTCAGCATTCTTGTACACCAGAAGCGCAAACGGTATGGACGAGCCACTGAATGCAAAGTATGCAGTGAAGGCGAAGCACTGAGGCATTGCCAGAACAGCTAGCTGGTTAATCAACCTGGAAGACTCCTGGAAGTTTGAAGTAGACCGAGCCCAACCCACAACGCTGGAAGACTTATCCAGATTATTTACCCTTGCTTCTGACACATGAGCAGTAGATCCGGATTCCTCGTCACGTAGCTAGGACAACCGACCCGACACAGTAGAGCAGTATCAAGGTTCAGTTGGTCTCCTTGCTATCTACGTGGATGAGAGGGAATAGGTAGAGAAAGCAACCAATTCCCGTGGCTTTGCCTGCTGATTGCCCTTTGCATATGCCCGGTATAGTCCGGGCATTCCCATCCAAGGTTCTGAGGATCATATTCCGGCATGCGAGGCCTGGAGACTTGGCCGGTATGCTCTTCCGAACGAGCATATCCTGAATCAGCAGTGCGGTATGTTGCTTCTTCGCGCGGGAGATGTGGGAGGCCGCACTAATGGTGATGATGATTCTAGGACGTTGGCGCTCGCTGCCTTGCGTTGCCCTCGGCTCCATATGCTTTAAACGCCTTCTTGACCATGGTGGTCGGAGGAGGAAGTGAAATAGGATGGATGCCAGTTAATGTTTCCATACTTCATTACTGTCATCAGATCAACTTGTTTCGTTAATTACATCTCATCAATTATCGTTCTCGCTCTTGGTAGGTTGCCGAATCATGCAGTAGAGCTGTAGCAGAGCATCAGTACATACTCATATTGTCATAGTAGTGCTTCAGGAGAACTCACCGTACACCCATCTTTCCCATTCTCATCCACACACTCAATCTCCCCAACGCCCTGAAAGCCAAGTTTCTGGTATATCGCCAGGTTCGGCATCCCCTTCGAGCTCTCCAGATAACACGGCATGCCCTCTTCATCAGCCCGCTCCGTAACAACCTCAACCAACCGTCTGCCCAGTCCCAACCCTCTCATCTCAGCACGCACGGCGATAACATTGCAGAAGTAGTACCCTCGCTCATCCGTCCAGATTCTGTCATGTTTCTTCGCCTGCAAGGCTTTCCATTGCCGGTAGCGATTTAACCTCAGTCCGCCGCGCCCTCGATACCGGATATTGAAGAGAAACTGCCGGATGGAAAGTAAAGCGTCCTGGGCTTGATGGGTGAATGGCGGGCTAGACGATGTTGGTTCTGGAGGGTGCCACCAGCAGATTCCGACGACGCGATTTGAGGCCGTGTCTTTGGCGATGTAGATCGGGGCGCGGATGGCGAGGCCGTGGCGGAAGTGCGCGGAGAGGGAGGCGGCGTTGCGGGCGATGTTGTACTATTTTATTCAACTTCTATACTCACCCAATCAGGAATGTAATTTGGACGTACGGTCTCCGGATCAAACATATATGTGAAGAAGGGATCATCGGCAAAGACGGTCTGGATGCATTCTACGGCCTGCGGGATGTCGCGTTTGGAGAGCGGGAGGATCTGGACGTCCATCTTGACAAGCAATCTATAACCAAGGTAGTTATGTCTATATGCATCATACAGGACGATAAGCAAGTATATATAAGCAGCGATGCTAAGAGCTAACCCATCCCAGGAAGTCCACGCGAACGCAGCCATCTGTACAACCTCATCATCCCCGCTTCAGCTTAGCTCCATTCGGCAGGTCGTGCCGGCAGCCAGCGCCCATTGGAGAGGACGCTCAGCAAGAACAACAAAGCCAGCCAGCCAGCAGGGATCACGCACGCAAGGGCGCTGCCGGATCCCGCATCATCAGCGTCAGCTCCTGCCTCCCCTCCCCGCCCCACCGCGCAAAGTCCATCTCGATCCTCTCCAAAGTCCGCCACCCGTACCTGGCGTACACGGGGAACCCCTCCGTCGTAGCCTCGAGGTAGATCCGGCGCTGTACTTTGTCCGCTTCCTCAATCCCCCAGGTAAGCAGGGCTCTCGCGACGCCCTTCCCTTGGGACTCCGGCGACGTGGCGATGAAGTCGAGGACTGCGCCTGCGTCAGCATGCATGGGGAAAAGCAATTATGCTGTCCAAGTGGCAGATAACTCACCGATATCCTCATCCCGCACGTATTCCGCCGCCTTCTCCTTCAGCGTCCCAAAGAACCCATCATACACAGCGCGGTTCGTCCCCTCCGGTAGAGGCAGCGCGCCCGAACCCCACGGTGATTCCATTTCCGCCCCGCTCGCGGCGCTCGCGGCGCTCTCGGCAGCCTTGTCGGTCGCGTCCGCGGGGAACGACCACCGCGCACAGCCGACTATCGCGCCCGAGTCTTGATCAACAGCCGTCCAGATGTGCGTATTCGGCGTTGCGAGCTTCTGCGTCCATCGCGCGCTTTTGAGGGCGTGGGCGGCGGCCGGACTGACGGTGGGGAATGCGGAGGCGAGGAAGGGCTTGTTGGTGAAGGCGGCGATGTTGATGGTTGCGAGGGTGGGTGCGTCGGAGGGAGTCGCGGGGCGGATGGTGAGGTTCATCTTGCCTTTCTTGTCGCTCTGTTTGCGAAGTCCAGTTCTCTGGTTGCAGGCGAGTTTGGGGAGTTGGAGATGGGAATTAAATACTGGAGGGTTACCGTACCTATGACTCACAGGAACGGCGCCAAACATCTTGTACGGTAAACTTCCTCTTCTAATCTATTCTACTGCCAGTCCGGCCCCTATCAACGAACTGCTGCTGATTTCCATCTCATCTCCTCTGGTCCCGAATTCGTTATCGGAATCCATCGAGTGTCAATGGTATCCTGCCACCGTTTCTCCATCGCAGTTAACGGTCGATTCCGCGAAGAAACCTATCTTGTTCTGCAGTCGATCTATCGCTCCTGCATTTGGAAGGATCAAGGATCTCGACATCCGGCCAGAAAACAACCCCTTTCGCCCCGGATAATACCAGTGCTCGAGAAGCTCTCCGCTCGATGACCCTGCTTCTCGACCAAGCAAAACAGAAGTCAACACCAATGTCTCGAGCACCCTCAAAACAAAACCTCTATGAGAGGCTTACCTTAGTGAATTCTGAACAAAGAGTCCTATAATGGCAAACTTTTCGCCCTTTACTGGATTGGGTCAACGACTCTGGTAGGTAGCCTGGCTAACACTCTCAGGCCTGGGGAACAGATCTGCGGCGCGATTAACAACAACATCCAACAAGAGAACCGGATCTCGATGTGAATAAGGACAAGCAAAATCTTCTGGTGTTATTACGCCTTCTCCAGAGATCTCAGTTGCTTTCCGAACAACGCTGGTCCAAGGGCGTCGTTGTTGGGACTGGATCGCTTCCACCCACCATAACGCTGATCCACCTGCTGGATAAGTCCAGAAGCAGTCCCAGGCGTAGTCGCCGTCAAGGGGTTCCAAGTCTCGCAACAACAATATTGCCCTCATCTTGGACGGCCCACTGGCTGTGGCACCTATTCTACCGGCATCGACCAATAAAAAAAATCACGCCAATCGCGCCAATCTTGCACAATTACAGCGACATGTCAATCATGGAACGTAAAGACAGCTCCAAGCTAGCGAGGAAACTCCAGAACGAAGACATCCGCCGAGGTGGTCGAGCGGATGGGGCCCGGGGGAAAGCAACAAAGACTCGGGCGCCGCGCACGATGCCAGTGAGAACCTCAAACGACATGTGTCTATACATTATGAGGGCCTTCCATCATATGAAAGCAGAATGCTTGCTATTCTGCGCGCATTGGCAATTGATTCGGTAGTCGTTCTGTCGCGCATGGGTAAGCGATGAGTTTCAAAAGGCTGTGTCAACAAGCGGCCTGCGAAGCGACCAGGATCTGACCAACCATCTCCACCTCATGACTAGGTTGCCGTGATTGAGAGCCCCATTTTCCATGTTTAGGGCTCTTTGTGAAATCGGACGTGGTCGGTTGGTTCGAGGGTCCAGAAGCAGCAGCCCCCTCCACTCCCATAGGTTCATGGGAACTAACCAGGCATCTTCATGCTATTTCCAGCGTCCACACCAACGCGCACATTGTTTGCGAATTTTCACGCCATGGGTTGCACAGCAGGGCACTCTTCAGCACGGGGTACCAATTGGCGGAGCCACCCCTGGGATCAAACGTCCTCCGGTCGCTGGTATCAAGGGTCGGGTGACGACTCTGACTCGCGCAGTTCTTGGAATGGCTGATCGCTTATCTGCAACTACCGAGTATTAAACGGTGTTGCATCCTCCTAGTATGGCTTCGAAGGTTAACCTCTTCGCACTCCTCCAACCGTCCCAATCCTCCACTGTCTAGCCATGTTTCTCTTCAAAAGCCCCGACCCCGACCTGACCAAGGAGGTCGTTGAGTTCCCCTCCAGAATAAACAACCGCCTCGAGTCGTACGTCACCCGCCTCCTGGAAGAGGTCGGCATTCCCAGCTTCATCTGGGGTGAGCCCTACCTCTCCATTCTGGGCTCCACCACAGGGGCGCTTGTAAGCCTTCCGCTCCCCCGGCTGATTTACTCACTTCAATCAAGAGCTTCCCTAATGGCCAGTTAGTTCTCTGGGTACGTGATCCCTGACGAGCATATTGACAAAGCCGCCGAGGTGCTTGAGAAAGCGAAGTTTCCTCCCTGTACCCAGGGCGACAAGTGCACGCATTTCTGAGAACTCTGCACCCACCCATACCCGGACTACCATTGGCACACGGATCTCAAATACTTCGAGCTGCCCAAGAAGCCCGGAGACCTCATCTTCTTCTCAGGCGGCGTCCACCTATTCCGCAAGTCCCGATTGTTTTGGGAATTCCCCGACCCGCCCCTCGGTGCCCCTCCAAAGGACGACCCTTACTACATGCTCACCTCAGACCCACGGATCAATGAGCGCTACCCATGTCATGTCCGCGGCCGCCAGCCCGAGGGGTACTACCCCGTCAAGATGCCCGTTCCAGCGCGCTACTTCGAAGCAATGGTCCTGCTGAGAATGCGGGATGTGCGTGCCCGGTGGCTGGATGGGTGTTGGAGTGTCAACATCTTGTATCTGCTTGACTCAGACCACATTCTTCTGCTTAACCTTGACACAGGCGATATCAATGAGCCGTTCCCCGAGTATGCTAAAAGGCGGATTTATGAGGGGTACGAGAAGGAGAAGGGACATGAATACAAGTATTTATTGGAGATGTTCCTCGACTACAAACGAAAAGGCAAGCTTCCTCCGCCCGAGAGGCCGCCGAGGGAAGGCGAGCGCTCATTTGAAGCGCTTCTGCAGCATTGGAAGGTTCCCTATGAACAATCAGACCTGATTTATGGGTAGAGCTGGGGCTCACTGCTGCGAATTTGGGATGTGGATCTCATCTTCGTGTTGTTCTATGCTTGCTCTTCTTTGCTATGTGGCAATAAATTGCGGATGTGTGTTCGTTGAGAGAAGATGTTGGTTCTAGGTTACTGTATTGTACATTTGTTATCAATCTGTTTACATTTGTATTCCTCTTCAGCTTTAAGACGTCTGGATCGAAAGAATTAATCCAGCTGACAAGGTAGTCAGAAGTAATAGAAGGCCATGCAACCAGGAAGACACTATGTTCTATGAGCAGCAAGCAAATAACTGGAGCCAGCTGGGGCCACTTATGTTATGACAGGAAATAGGATCAAAGCGCAGACATACTAATAGGACTAGTACAGGTAATGGGACTAACACGAAGACCCACGAATAGTAAAATGCAAAGACAGACACTGGTCGGGCAAGTGAAGAGGCGCAAGAAAAGGAAGGACAGCAAGGTGGAAGAGGAGAGAAAAGAGCACAGGAGGGCAGACAGGGGCAAAAATACTGGCGACCACCTCACGGCAATAGACCTGCCCAATCGCTCTCAGAGTACTGCTGGAGTACCACGCGCTGCGATGCCGAAAGGAGGGCGAGGTGTGTCTGGCCCGGAAACGAGGTAGGCAGGTCCAGCGTCCGAATCAGCGCCATGTTGGCGGGGGGCAGCTCTGGACCTGGGGACTGGAGCTTGGCTTCCTTCCGTGCGTCTCGCGGTATCCGATTATGGCCTGGAGGCCTTGGAATTCAGGAATTGTGGCTACCTGAGCCGTCTAGTTACTTACTGGATCCAGACGTCCGCATCGACCCATCCCAACACCAAACATGCAACACTCCAATGTACATTCGATATGAACCTCTACCACTCCACCCCATTCCTCTCCACCGGAACCTTCAGCATCGGCGGCACTTTCCCCGCCCTCACGTTCACCTGCAGCGCCGGATGGATCAGCTTCGGCGGCGGCAACCCCTCATCGCGACAGTTCCTCATCTTCACGAATTCCTCCTCCGCAACATCCAGCTTAACGTGCTTGTTCTCCTGCCTGTGCTCGCCCACACTCACGCTAGAGACCGGTGTCGCCCGCATTTCCGACGGATAGTCATGCCCAACCCAGATGCGGACATGCTCGGGCAAGGACAAGAGGCGCCGCGCAGAGCGGAAGAGGCTCGCCGCGTCGCCGCCGGGGAAGTCGGTGCGTGCGGTGCCCAGGTCGGTGTGGAAGATGGAGTCGCCCGCGAAGACGTTGTCTGGCGATGTCAGTTTCAGTTCCCCTGCTGGACTTGGAAAGCAACGCAGACTCACCTCCAATCCGGTACCCCATATGATCTGGTGTGTGTCCCGGGAGATGGATCGCTACGGCACTCAGGGACCCAATGGCGAAGACCTCGTTGTCACGGAACAACCGTCCGAAGACGCCGCTGTACTCGTCTGCTGGGATCCCGTATTTCTGACCGAAGACCTGCTGCACTTTGGTGATGTCGGCGCCGATGCCGATTGGCGGGGTCTGCGCCTGTTCCTGGGTAAGACGGGCCTGGAGGTACGATGCTGCGGTGAGGTGGTCGGCATGGGCGTGCGTCTCCAGTATCACGACGACGGTGTACCCTTCTTTTTTGATCAAGGTGAGCAATGCATCCGCGGTGTTGGTGCTGATTTCGTGCGTCGCTGGGTCGTAGTCTAGGACTGGGTCGATAATGGCTGCCGCGCTGGTTGATGGGTCTGCCACGATATACTGCCACGTGCCGGTTTTGGGCTCATAGATGCTGTGGATTGCTGGCTTGTCTGGGGGTTTGGAAGCTGTTTTATCAGTGGAAGGGCTGGTTGCTTGTGTTGAGAGGGAAAGGCGCCCTGGTTTCGGGGCCGAGAGATGTCGATGGTCGAGTCGCTGAAGCGGCATCGTGGCAGCAGCATGATTCGTCCTGATAGTTCGATTGTCGGACACAGCCATTGTGTATGGACGAACATGGATGGGTTTGTTTCCCCCTATCCTGCTATGGCCGGTGGCACGCAATGCTCTGCTCCTGGCTGCCAGCTGCATGCGGTACATTTTTACGCGGTAAGGGACAACTCAGAATGTTAACTGGAAGAAAGGATGGAAGTCACAATATCTTTTTGAAACTGAAGCGCTGGTTCGATGCCATAGCCTATCTATACCTCGCCGTGGGAGTCATCCTCAATCGCCGACTGACGCAGCAAACGGCGACCATCAACGGTCGGCGATTCACCCCAACCCCGAATGGCCCCATTTCGGAGTCTTACTTCTTATATATTCCTACTTCGTACTTCACTCAATGTCCCAGCTCCAGTCTTTCTACCATCTTTACATGTTCCGAATGATCTCCAGTCGCCCAATGCTCGCCGCTCGTGCTGCCGGGCGCTCCGTTGGTCCATCAACCGTCCGAAATGCATCCTCAGCAACCTCACCCCTCGCCAATCTTGCTGCACACAGCCACAGAGTTGTGGTCGTCGGCGCCGGGGCCGCGGGTCTCAGCATCGGCCACCAACTCCTACGGTCGCGGAAGTTCTCCCAGGACGAGATCGCCATAGTCGACCCAGCAGCGTGGCACCACTACCAGCCCGGTTGGACCTTGGTCGGCGGAGGCATCAAAGCGAAGGAGAAGCTGCGCCGTCCGATGCGAGACCTGGTAGACTCGCGGTTGAAGTTGTATCAGCATAAAGTCGACTTGTTCAATCCCGATCACAGCTCAGTCACCCTTGACGATGGCCGCACGATCGCATACGAGCATCTTGTTGTTGCACCGGGCATTGAGCTCGACTATAGCAGTGTCAAGGGTCTGCCGCAGGCTCTGGCGGATCCGCACTCGCCCGTCTCGTCGATCTACGGGTACGAGTTCTGTGACAAGGCATTTGAGACTATCAAGAAGTTGAAGCGAGGAACTGCCGTTTTTACGCAGCCAACGGGCATCGTCAAGTGCGCGGGAGCTCCTCAGAAAATTATGTGGCTTGCCTTGGATTATTGGAGAAGAGCAGGCCGGTATACCTACAGCCCAAACAAGCAGGAAGGCGATTCAATTCAGATCAAGTTTGCAACCGGGCTCCCCGGCCTCTTCGGCGTGCCCAAGTACAGCGCTGCTTTAGACGTTCTGCGCAGACAGCGAGGCGTGGAGGGCTATTTCCAGCATGATCTGGTTGCAATTGAGGGTAACCAGGCCGTGTTTGATGTGACCCTCGCAGATGGCCAGAAGACCACGACCAAATTACACTTCGACCTGCTTCACGTCGTCCCTAAAATGGGTCCGTATGACTTTATTCGAAAAAGCCCGATCGCAGACACGGCTGGATACGTGGAGGTAGACGCGGCCACGACGCGCCACAAGCGGTACCCCAACATCTGGTCTGCAGGCGATGCGTCGAATCTGCCCACGTCAAAGACAATCGCGGCGATTACCTCCCAGGCACCGGTGCTGGTGCGGAACATGTTGCGCTGTATAGACGGGAAACAGCCGGATGCCGTGTATGACGGGTATACCTCGTGTCCGCTGGTGACAGAGTACGGCAAAGTACTCCTTGCGGAATTCAAGTATGGAGGGCAGCCGAGCGAGACGTTCAACCGGTGGTTTGGGATAGACCAGGGGGTGCCACGGCGGGCCTTCTACCATCTGAAGAAGGACTTCTTCCCGTGGGTGTACTACAGTGGCATGCTCAAGGGCACGTGGCGGGGGCCGAAGGGGTGGAGTCGATAGACCTTGCTTGATGTAGTTTAGCAAGTAACTAAGCATCAGATGACAAGTCAAATCCCGAGTCCCCGACTGTCCCGATCGCCGACTGTCAGCTCTTCCCAGTTTTCTCATGAGAAGCCCACCACTGCCCTGCGAACATGCCCGTCGCCTGCACCGAGTGTCGCGCCCAGCACCTCCGCTGTGACTTCAAGAAGCCAACCTGTTTGCGCTGTGCTGATGCCCGGCTTGCCTGTGTTTATCTGCCCTCGCGGCGTGGAGGTAGACGGAGGCCTCGAGCCGGTCATGGTCGACACGAAGCTGAAGGACTCGTGATGCCCAACACCACTGTCCACCCCCATGAGGATCGTTTGGCTCCTTCACCGGGTCCTGGCCATGCTAGTGCTCCTGAAGACTCTCCCCAACCACCTCCAGTTGTTCCCGACGCCCGGCTAGTCTGCCTGTACTATGAGCACTTCCACTCCGCCCATCCGATCCTCCTCCCGCCCCGTCTGTATGAAGCCCGCAACTATCCCCGGTATCTGCAGCAGGTCGTCAAGTTCATCGGCAGTCAGTACTCGGCTGTTCTGTCCAGCGACGCGCTTTCAGAAATCACCGCGCTCGAAATGAGCAGTAGCGTCGAAAGAACGCCCTGCATGGTCCAGGCTCTCCTGCTCTACTCCATCATTCTATACGCCCGCAACGAGCACCACCAAGCCGAGCTCTCCCTCTCCCGGGCAATCGACATCGCCCTGGAGCTGGGCATGTACACCGGCACCCAGGAAGCAGGGCATGAAGCAGAGAGCCTGCGCCGGACATGGTGGGAGCTCTTCATCGTCGAGGTCCACACTGCAGCCCTCACTCAGTCCCAGCCCCAACTGCGCTGCAGCCAAGTCCCATACAACGTCCCGCTCCCATGCGAGGACGCGCAGTATGCATCCCCGTCTCAAGACGCCATTCCCAGCCCACCAAGCCTGGAGTCCTTCGGCATGCGCTTCTTCACGGACGACTCCGACTCCGACAACGAGGACACAACGCCCGCGTACTCCTCCTACGCCTACCGCATCGAAGCCGTTCGCATCCTCGCGCGCACCCTCATCCTCAACGCCCTCCCAGACCCCCAAGCCCACCCAGACCACCTGCAAGCCGTGGCAAACGCCATCACCAGCTGGACGAACCACCTCCCACCATACAAAGCCACCGTCATGGACATGTACGGGGCCATCGACGAGATGCTCTTCCAGGCCCACCTAACCATCCACTACGCAGCCATGCTCCTGCACCTCCCCCGCAGCAACCTGCGTCTAGGCCTGAACCTCCTAAACAGCAACAGCGCCAGCGACAGCAGCAGTGCAGGCGCCAGCGCGCGCGCCAGTGCCATCTGCCCAATCCTCCCAACAGCCCGCCCCTCCCCGTCCCTAACACGGCAAGTCCACGACGTCATGGCCACCGAGGCCTCAAAGACACTTACAAGCCTCCTCTCCGTCCGCACAAGCGCAAGGGGATACTCCCCCTTCACGGTCTCCAGCCTGGTCGTGTCGGGCCTCGTGCAGCTCGCGACGAGCGAGCTCCACCCGCCCGCCTGCGCCGACCACCACAATAACCGCGTGCTCCTTGTGCTGGGGTGTCTGAAGCTGCTGAGGAGCAGCTGGGCGCTTGGGAGGGAGGCGCACCGGGTGCTTAGGCGGGCTGCGGCGCGGACGATTGGGAGGGCTAAGGGGGTGGGGGGTTCGGAGAAAGGTCTTGGTTCTGGTGGTGGGAGTGGGAGTGGTACCTGGCTTGCGGCTACGCCTACCCCCGCAAATCCGCTCTTGATGTCGCCGGCTGTGGCGACGCCGATGTTCTTGGGGCTGGCTGAATTCGTGGATCCGACCTGTGGCGATCCGTTCCTGTTTGAGCGGGTGTCGGTGTTTGGAGGGGGTGAGCTGGGATGATCTGTGAATGTTAGGAAGCATGAACATAGATCATAGAATCACTAAGCTTTGGGACCGCCGAGGCTGCTCATAGCAAGGACTAGGAGGCAACTGTGAAGAAGAATCAATCCATTAAAGAGACCTGTAAGCAGACCAGACTAGAAGTACAGGAACGAAGCTCAATCAAACACAACACAACGCGAATAACAATACGGTACATGACTAATGAGCGTCACACCATCCATCGATAGATAGAAAGGCAAGGCAAGGTAAATCGGCAAGCAGACGTCCATCCACCAAACCCACCTCCACCTCCACCCAAATCACTGCAGGCCTACAGCGCAAAAGCAAGCAGCGTAAACGCCCCAACCACCACACCAAAAACCCCCTCGACCTTCGCGGCGCGCCCAGCATTACCCGTAAACGGCACCGTCTCGGACGAAGCCGAAGCCGACGGCGACGGCGACGGCGACGGCGAGGGACGAGTCTCTGCGCCGGGCGTGCTGGACGTCGCCACGACCGCAGCGGCGGAGGCGGAGGCCTCCTCCGAGGCGCGCGGGGTCCCGCTGGCGACGGACATGGGGACCACGCTGAAGGTTGAGGCCTGCTCGACGGCGATTGCGGGGGCGGGGGCGTGGTAGCTAGCCGTGTACGCGGTTGAAGAGGGCGCGGTGTAGGCTTGCGAGTAGGCCTGCGCGCTGTAGATCTGGCTTGTGGGGGTTGAGTAGGAGGCGGCGGCTTGCGAGGACGGCGCGGCGTAGGGGTAGGAGTAGGACTGGTATGCGGCGGAGGCGAAGGCGTTGGGGCCGTGCTGCTCCTCTTCCTCCTCCTCCTCTTCCTCTTCCTCTTCATCCTCAGTCTCCTCTTCCTCTTCCTCCTCCTCCTCTTCTTCTTCTTCTTCCTCCTCGTCCTCAGTGGGGTATGGAGAAGACGAGGATCCCTCAGTTGACTCATCCTGTCCGGGGCTGTACGCCGCGACACCGGATTCTGCGGGGTAGTCATAGGTGCTGGTCTCGTCCTCACCCTCATACACCGGCGCAGCAGGATCCTGTTCCTCGGCGTGGCTGGTAGAGGAGGTCTCGGGCTGCGGGTAGACGGCGACGACGTGCGTCGGGGACGGGACCTCCGTGTGGATGGCGGTCACGGTTTGCACGACGTGCTCGACCTGGGTGCAGTCGACGTCGGACTTGGTGGGCTCGGCGGCGTACTCCTTGGGTTTGTCGTGCTCTTTGGGGTCCTCGTGCTTCTTGGGTTTGTCATGCTCTTTGGGGTACTCATGCTCTTTGGGGTCCTCGTGCTCTTTGGCTTTGTCATGCTCTTTGGGGTACTCATGCTCTTTGGGGTACTCATCCTTCTTGGGGTCCTTATCCTTCTTGGGGTCTTCATGCTCCTTGGGCTTCTCATCCTCCTTGGGATCCTCATGCTGCTTGGGATCCTCATCCTTCTTCGGCTTCTCATGCTCCTTTGGCTTCTCCTCCTCCTTCTTGGGCTCCTCATGCTCCTTGGGGTCCTCATGCTCCTTGGGGTCCTCATCCTTCTTGGGCTTCTCCTCCTCTTTCTTGGGGTCCTTATGCTCCTTGGGCTTCTCCTCCTCTTTCTTGGGGTCCTCATGCTCCTTGGGCTTCTCCTCATCCTTCTTGGGGTCCTCCTCCTTCTTGGGTTCCTCCTCCTTCTTGGGTTCCTCCTTCTTGGGGTCCTCCTTCTTGGGATCCTCCTCCTTCTTGGGCTCCTCCTTCTTGGGTTCCTCCTTGGGATCCTCCTCCTTCTTGGGCTCCTCCTTCTTGGGCTCCTCCTTCTTGGGCTCCTCCTTCTT